AACACAGTCCAAGTAGTTACTATTGACCAACGCTAACTGTGAAAGATCCGTTTTGAACCAAGGCCTAGGCTGCTGCTGCTGCAAAATCCCTCCACGTTATGCCCAAGTTGAATTTCAGAGTCAACCAGCAAGCAAGTGAAAAACTAGACTACGCCTTTTCGCCCTCGACAGTATTTACCTTACTATCATACTCTACATATGCTACTAATGCGAGTCTGTGGCCGAAATGAAACGGATTCGAGCTGCTCACGGGGCTCGCTGTTCTCGCTATAAGGGTCGTCACTTTGTCCCTCACATACATGGCACTTCTGGCATTTTATGCCTCCGGCGGGTCATCCTTTGGGAAGTATCTCCATCTCTCCTTTTCTTCGTGGTTGCTTGTCCTCTTCAAAGTCTGGCTCATTTTCATTGGGCGATTCTATGGTTTTCTCAGCATCGCATTCACGTCTCAGCAATTCTAGCTGGACGGCATACTTCGGCTCCCGACACTTTCTTCACGATTTGGGGCGCGGCCGAGTTGATAGTGCCCGCGAACTGTGCTGATGGAGTGTTTTCAAACCTACCCGCACAGTTCGCGGGCACTACCAACTCGTCCGCGCTCGCCGCGGCCGCGCCCCAAATCGTGAAGAAAGTGGGGGAGCCGCGTACTTCACATGAGCGCCTTGGCTTCTTCTTCCTGAACCCATCCAGTCACATGCAGCTACCCGATTTCAGCATCCTTACTTCAGCAGAGTGGACCCTGTTCCGCATGTTGCTTATGAGCCAGGTCTTCCTGCTGTAAACTATTGAGAGCGTCTCCACTGTTCGGTACACCTTGTCTGAGCGTTGTAGAGCAATGTGTTCGCAGATGGCGGTTCACTCCCTGATTTCGTCCATAACCTTTAATTTTTTTTATTCGAGCCTTTGGCATCTCATCCACGTTACCATCAGCGACAATGATCGCTCTTCCAAAAGGTCTGCTGATTTCTTGTGCTGCTTTCACCATGGCCATCCACCATCGACTCTAACTTCGCAGTAATTGCAAGGAAATTGGTTCATAAGGTCCAACGGAGCCCTTCTCTTCCAGCTCTTACTGGGACACGCCCTTGCAGAGCATGATGGAGCACACAGCAGAGAAAGCATCTTCTCGCAAATGTTCCCTGCTGTCCGCTTCCAGTTCATGCTCTGCACCCGTTGCATTTGAAGAAATATGAATTCGAAGTTTGTTCCCTGACTAGGATAGGAAACATAAATGTTCATGTATGATGTGTAGGAGTATGTTTATTGAAACTTGAAACGATGCAGTCTCTGAATATCCTCGTTTAGGTGTATGCTAGACTACGAGCTCCTAAAGATGGAATTTACGGTGGTACCATTGATGCATTGGTTTCTGGTGGAGGAGGATACAGAATTGTTTTCGACAAGGTTTGCAATTTTGCAGTTGGATAACTTGGAACTTCTATTTTTGCAAATATAATTTTTTTGAAGTAGTCCATGGATTTCCGCCTTGTGATAATCCATTCACTGCACTGTTGATAGAAGATTGCCTGGCGCAAATGATTTTTTTTGTTATGTCAGAGAATCTTTGACGAAATTTTGCAGTGACTGTGTATTTCTTCTAGTGGAAAGGTTCAATTTACGGTTGGAAACTCAGGATGGAATACTCTGTGTAATGAGAGTGAAGAGCAGAAGTATTCGTTACAGGAGGACATGATTCCACCAGCGTTTGTACCCGACTATGAAGTTATGTACGATGGGTCACTGGAACTACTCTCACTTTCTTACTTCCTGCAACAAAATAGTGCTCGACTGCCCACTATGAACTCTACTCGCACTGGTGAGCACATGCTTTGTTAGACGTTTTCTGGAATGCGATGGGGGCACTTCATTTTGCTCTCCAATAGTAAGGAGAAAGACAAGAACGGTCATGACATGGTTGACGCTTAACAAGTTCTTCTGATAGGTACTGGTGTGGTGTAGAAGTGCTCCCTAAGGTGCTTCTTGGCCTTCTGTGGTCTAATTGGTCTTGACCAGGGCAATGA